ACACTGGCTGCTCTTGCAGAGGACCTGGGTTTGGGTCTTAGCACCCACATGGTCTGGAACCCCCGGGGATCAAACATGCCTTCTGGCTTCTGTGGGTATTGTATACATGTGGTGCACTTTTTTACATGAAGGCAAAACACATACTTAAAAGAAAAATGAATAAATCTTCAAAAGTAGAAGCTATTCTAGTGAGAAAACAGTTATAAAACTAAATATCCTGGCAGATGTTGCTCCCGCAGCTGGTAGTAGAATGTAAAACACGCCCTTCTCTCTTTCTCCCAGTGGGAGCCAGCAAGTAAAGGGAAGCTTTGGGCCTTACTTCAGAAGACTGGACCAAAGAATCTCTAAGAAGGGAATTATTCAAAAAGAGAAGCAGCCTGGAACTAAAAGAAAAATTCCAGACACACTTTGAAGGAAGCAGGCAAATGAGAAGACAGTGGATTTAGGTGCCAGATAGGAGTAGCTAGACCAGAGTCCCGGGAAGTACTTCTACACATAGACTCAGAGCTGTACCACATCCCACCCCAGAAACTATAACCCATATAGGTTATAGTAAAATGGCTTTTATTACCCAAAATGTACCTGGTTTACAGAATCAGTATGGTGATATACTATGAAGGGATTATGGAAATAAATTAATTTATTCATCTGTTCACCATTCACTAAACAGCCCTGAGGTTAGCAATACAGACTTGGAAGATGAATTGCAAACCAATCACTTAGAAGCTGGACAACAAAGGACAAGCTTCTCAGCCTCTCTGTGAAATGAGATATTCATAGTACTTATATCAAAGAACCATTGGAAAGATTAAGGGCAAAGTGTATGGAACAGTGCCTTGCACAATTAAACAACAAGCATAAAAGACACTGGATAGTGTTTTCATTAGTACTACTTCTCAATGCCTCTTATGGGTTAGATACTGCATATACTGACATAACTAAGTCTTCTCCACCCTCAAAAGCTGATGATCTCAAAGTGACGATGAATGCACAGATGATGTACAAGGCCACACTATACTTACTCATATACTGAGTAACTTGGACTCTGGGTCCAGCCCGCTATGTTGCAGTCCTTCAGTCACGCTTACTTGCTATATGACAATGACTTACTCTAGACCCTTCTCAATGAAGGAACACTCTGTGCTAGAGTGGAATGCCTTGCCTAGAGAAACAGGCGCAATATCTATCTTCAGAGTACATTCAGATTAACCTCTCTAAACCACAGTCTCTCACATACAAAGCTGAATATAAGGGAAAAAAAACCCTACATTTAGTGTTACAAAGAAGTAGGCAAGTGACAGAAGATGGTGCTTTTAGTAAACAGTATGGAAAGACTCAAATGTGTCAACACAACAACACTAAAAAGCACCTTAATCTAGACTTTACACCACAGATAAAAATCAATTCAAAATGGGGTTTTTAAACAATTATAAAACCTAAACCAAAAACAACCAGAAGAAAGCACAAGAGAAAACTTTTCTAGCGAGCTGGAGAAAAAGCTCAGTGGTTAAAAGTACTGGCTTAGGTTAGGCGGATTTCTCAGATACACCAAAAACACTACCCACAAAAGAAAAACCATTTAACCTGTACTTTATCAAAAATCTTGTTCTTTAAGAGACTATTTACTAATGAAAAGACAAACGCCAGGTGTGGTGGCACAGGCCTTTAATCCCAGCACTTGAGAGGCAGAGGCAGAGGCAGGTGGATCTTTGTGAGTTCGGAGCCATCCTGGTCTACATAGTGAGTTCCAGGTCAGCTGGAGCTATAGGGACACCCTGTTTGCAAAAAAAATAACCAAAAGAAAAGAAAAGACAAGCCTCAAACTATGCATCTTCAAGAGACTGGACTGCTTTCTATTTTTCAGAACTCCAAGGGCTTAATAAGAAAAAAACAACTCGATATTTAAAACAGGCAAAATATTTGGACCAGGCATTTCACTAAGGAAACATACTGATGGCCATAAGCACAGGAAAAGATGTTCAACATCATTAATCCTGAAAGAACAAGTCACGTCACAGCGAGACAGCAGTACAAATCTAGCAGAATGGCTAAAATCAAAACAAGACCAAACTCTGGCACCCACCAAGGCCAGGATGTGGAGCAACACAGACACTGTTGGTGGCTGTGCAAACAGTTCTGACACTTGGGAAAAAATAACAGCTTGGCAATTTGTTTTCTTTTCTTTTCTTTTTTCTTTCAGAAGATCAAAACCAGGGCCTCCCCTATGCTAGGCACATACTCTAGCACTGAGCCACAATATCTTATTAAGTTAAACATGCCTCCCATACAACCCAGGAATCTATTCCTAAATATTTATGCCAAATGAAACGAAAAACCTATGTTTATACACAAACGTCTAAACAAATATTTATAGCAGATAACATATAATAGCCTTAAACTAGAAATGACCCAAAACATTCAAATGGCAAAAGTATACAATAGCCACCAATAGAATAATACTCAGCAATAAAAAGGTATGAAAAAGAAGAGATGGGAAACAAATGCGGCATAGGTGAAAGAGGCAGACTCAAAAGTGAACACACCACACATCATTCATTAACATTCCGGAAGCTATGTGGACAGAAACATCTCTATCAGGGTCTGAGAGAAATGGAAGAGATGAAAAACAAAAAGGGTAAGGGCATTGTTTTATATCACAATTATAATGGCGGCAGTGAAGATCAGATGTGCTCATTTGTCAAAACTGGCAGTATTATATATTGAAAAGAGTAAATTTTATTCTATTTAATTATTTAATCACATAATTTTTTAAAAATTTCTAGACGGTTTTCTTTGTATTTATTTATTTATTTATTTATGTGTGTGTATTACGTATGCCACATGTGCTTGCCAAGGCCAGAAGACGGCATCACATCTACTCAAACTAGAATTAGAGGTGGTTGTGAGCCACCTGACATGGATTCTCTACAAGAGCGGGAGGTGAGCCATCTGAACCATCTCTCCAATCCCAGAAAATAAATTTTAATGGGAGAAAAAGAGAAGCTCCAAAGAGCCTAGGAACTCTAGCTTGGGTACTGTGAGCCTAAGGGCATCAGCACCAGAAAAGGCAGTCTCCTTTGAGCCTGAGCCATGGGCCAGAACAAGTTCTGTGGTCACTGGTCATTCCCCACACTCCCTGTGGCTTTTTTCTTTCCTTTGTTTAAATGGTTTGGCTGAACACTTGAGGAATTAGTCACTGGAAAAAAAAGAATCTAGGGAAATTGGAGGCAGGCTCTCAACTGAGCACTAATGAAAACATCCACACCTCCTTAAATCGCAGAATCAGTGTTGAGAGGTGTCTGAAAAGCTACTAAGTACAGGCATGCTTCTTGCACTTGAACCGTAACAGAGAAGGGAACATTTAAACTTTTCTCTGTTTGTGAGACAGGGTCTCATGTGGCCGAGGTTGGCCTGAAACTTGCTGTATAGCTGAGGATGTCCTTGAACTTCTGTTCCTCCTGCCTTTACTCCACTCAAGTGCTGAGATTACAGATCTAAGTCATCACACCTGGCTCTCAAATTTATTACTACAACAAAGAAACTAGCAGGGTAGAGGGGAGTCAGATTTGTTCAGTCTCAACCATAGATTCTTCAAGAATAGTCTGGCTACCAATTTCCTTCAAATCACACACAGTCTGTTGAGGATTAATTAAAAGCATTTTCAAACAAGTGGAATCTACTTAATAGCTCCTGTAATTTGGTTTTTGCATTAAAAAAGTAATATCTACAACTTCTGGTTCTGCACACTGATTAGTGAAAGAAAACCAAAACAGCTATAAACAACAAAGACTTAACTTTCATTTTTAAAGAAAAAGCATGAAAAAAACAAGGTAATAGATTTTCCTGACAAAGTTGCACTGGAATTAACATTTGCAAAGGCGTCAGAATACTTGGATTCGAATCCCTTTTGGTTATTTCACTCTAACCCTCAAGAGTAAGTTATTTTTAGCCCCAACACATAAGAAAATGGAAATTCAGAAAGCATCAACGATTTGCTTAAAGTCACACAAAAGCCAGTGCCCAGTGCAACGCCAAAGTCTGACACAGGACAATCTTCCTCCACAAGTGACCTCCAGGTATCATGTCCTACCTACACCAATCCTCCTGTGACTCCATGCCCCTCCCCCCAAAGCAAAGGATTCTTTCTCTAAGAGGCAAAACAACAGTGGTGGGGCTGGAGAGATGGCTCAGTGGTTAAGAGCACTGGCTGCTCCTGCAGAGGACCCAGGTTCGATTCCCAGCACCCACGTGGTGGTTAACAACTGTCTGCAACTCCAGTTCCAGGGGATCTGATGCCCTCTTCTAGCATCCTTGGGCACTGCACATACATGGTACACCTACACACATGCAGGCAAAACACTCATACACATAAAATACAAAAAAAATACATATATAATAAGCAAGTGACTTTTTCGAAAGCTAAGGAGAGTTCAACTTTCAGAAGAATGTCCAAATTTTTGGAATTATGAAACCATATTCTCTCTCTCTCTCTCTCTCTCTCTCTCTCTCTCTCTCTCTCTCTCTCCCCCCTTATTGCCCCAGCTGGTCTGGAACTCTTCATGTAGATCAAGCTAGTCTTGATCTCACAGAGATCCATCTGCTTCTGCCTCCCAAGTGCCAGGATTAAAGGTGTGCACCACCACACCTGGCTTCTTCTTTCTTTTTTTCTTTAATATTTTATTTATTATTTTTATTTTATGTGTACGTGTGTATTGCCTACATGTAGGCAATGTCGTGCGATGCCCACGGAGGTCAGAAAAGGCTGTCAGATTCCCTGGAACTGGAGTTACGGATAGCTGTTAGCTGCCATGTGGGTGCTGGGATGTTAAAAAGCATTATCTAGAGATATTAAAATACCTCTAGTACATCATAGCATTCCATAAGTTTAAAAGTGAACAGATTTACCATTGGATGAACAGCCCAATCATATACTATGACACTACTTGAATATATAACATACTTGCCAATGTAGTCACATTTAATTTAATCGTTTTACTTACCTGATGTTTAAGCCAATGAAATTTGTCCATGTGAAAATATAATCTCCACCGAAGACCATTCCAATATAAGTTATTAATATATTCTAAAAAGGAAAATATGCTGTTATAAACACTTAACTGGGGTTTTAAACTGCACATATAAATATAACCATACTGTGATTAAAATATAAAAATGAATGTGCACACAGTAGCAACAAAGGTCTATCTAGTGACTGTGTGTACTATGATCAAGAGTATGCAAGGACTCAACAGCATTAGCCTTTTCCTACTTATTTCTCTCAACAATAAATGCTTTTGCCTATAGGAAGAGCACTACAAGGTTATCACGCCTGTTCCGCCTTGTGGCATGGCTGGCATGATGCTTTCCTTCCTTCCACTGGGATAACCGTAGACTTGTGAGGGGAGAGCAAAGACAGCTGCTCACATGCAAGCATCTTCCCCTTTTTTAAAAAAATGAAAAGGGAAATGGGGATTTTGCCAATCTAAAGACTGTTTTTAGGGAACTCCTCCTTGATACCTTAAAATACAGAAGTCATTTCAAATAATTATACTTAGAACCATTTCCAATGGGCCAGAGATGGCTCAGCAGACAAAGGTGTTTGCCTCCAAGTCTTATGATCTGCATTCAGTACTCAGAACTCACATGGTGGAAGGAAAGAACTGACTTCCTACAAGGTGTCCTCTGACATGCACACATCTATGTGTGCACGAATGTGTGCGCACACACACATGTGCACACACACAGTTTTTTAAATCACTTCTAAAGTACAAATATTCTAGCTCTAGCTCCCTTTTAATCATCCTCAAATTATAAAGCAGAAACCAACTTTCTAAAACTAAAACTGCCATCCCTCCCAATCTCCTTCCTTTCACATTTCTAAGTTACTGCCTTACTTGGTTGGTACAACTGACACATACAGTGATATTCTTAAATCTGTACTCTTCTAGAAAAACCCATGAGATAAAGTGCTATGAGTTCTTTAAAGGCTGGGGCTGGAGTGCAGTGCAGAGGGAGAAGACCTGCCTGGTGTGTGCAGAGCTCTGAATCTGATCCTTAGCATCAGGAAAGACAAAGGATGAAACACACCAGATAAGACTACAAAATTATTTTTATAATGAAATGCACTTTGGGAGGGAATTCAAAATTAATCAGCTTTTTCTATGCCTCAGGATGGTGACAGCAAGTTAAGAGCAGATTTTCTTATTATTTGAGCGGTAAAAAGAAGTATCACAGCACACAAGGGTGGCAGGTGTCCTGGGAATGTATGTGACTGGGTTCTCTTTGAACAAAGTGGATTAATTTGCATAAGTTATACAAGGAATGGGGGTGGGGGGCAGAGAACCCAACCCTCGCTGCTTAAAATCAGAAGTGGGGGGAAATAGAGGTATATATTAGGGGATCTTAAGCAACCTCCCCAAACAGTACTCATTAGAAAGCACAGAAGAACATCTTGTCAGTCCAAAGCTAAGACTGTAATGCTCTAACTTTAGTGTTCCTGAGACTCCACTTGCAGAGTTCCAGGTTCTGCTCTACAGATTGTGATCTGGCATACCCAGGGCAGACCAATGAATTTCCATGTTTACTAGCTATTCAAAATGGTTTTCCTGCCACATTGAGGGAAACAGCAATCTGATCCAAAGGTTGTGGGGCTGAAAGCCCCTTGGGAAAACAATGGTTGAGCTGAGAGGGCTGTGACCAGCAGTAATGAAAGAAACTCTACTGTGGCCCTTGAGATTGATCAGCTAGGGCACTGGTGGACTCCCATCCTTCAACAGCAAGACCTTGCAGCAGCCAGGAGCAAAGGCAACAGTGAACTAATTCAACAATCATTTCTTTCTCTCCTTCTGCAGTTTGCAATAAAATCTACCACTTTGCACCAAGAAAGTCATGGAGTTCACGAACTGCCACAGAAGGAGGGCACAGCAAAAGGGAAGCTTGGACGACCATGAGATCAGATGGCGTTGGTGTTCTACACTGATCACAGATGGCCATGAGATCAAGGGCATTGGTGTTCTACACTGATCACGGATGGCCATGAGATCAGATGTCGCTGGTACTCTACACTGATCACGGACGGCCATGAGATCAAGGGCATTGGTGTTCTACACTGATTACACAGACAGCCATGAGATCAGATGGTGTTGGTACTCTACACTGATCACGGACGGCCATGAGATCAAGGGCATTGGTGTTCTACACTGATTACACAGACAGCCATGAGATCAGATGGCGTTGGTACTCTACACTGATCACGGACGGCCATGAGATCAAGGGCGTTGGTGTTCTACACTGAATACATAGACAGCCATGAGATCAGATGGCACTGGTACTCTACACTGATCACAGACGGCCATGAGATCAAGGGCATTGGTGTTCTACTCTGATTACACAGACAGCCATAAGATCTGACGGTGTTGGTGTTCTACACCGACCATGTTCAAGTGTACCAAGAAATTCTAAGCAAATCAAATAAAAATTAAATAAACTGTAGCTTCCTGCCCATCCGTCTCCTTATCTGAAAATAATGGCACCAACTCTCCATCTCTTACATTCTTGCTGCCATCCACTTTACTTTTGAAATACTCATTTTACAAAACCAAACAGCTGAGAGCTAATTTAGGGGGCTAAAACTGTCTCAGACATCGCAACTCCCTGAGTGCAGACTGCTTTTTACACTAGCTTTCTGAGAGAATTAAAAAATTCACTTGTGACAGTTTCATTTAGAATTCTATTTATGTCAAACCCCAATTTCATGATGTTGAGCTATAGATTTTCTGGAGTTTTAACCCAATATAGTTTCTAGTATCATCAGTGTGCACCACACCAGTGGGGTACAGAGAGAAAACTAAAAGACAGCATTCTGGCTGGTTAGTTTCTGTCAACTTGGCACATTGACCTGGGAGGGAGAACCTCAACTAAAGGACTTCCTCTTTTGGAAGATTAGCCTATGGGCATGTCTGTGAAGCATTTTCTGGATTGATAATTGATGTAGGAGGGCCTAGGCCATTATGAGTAGTGCCATCCCTGGGCTGCTGGGCCTAGGCCACATAAGAAAGGCAGCTGAGGAGGCCAGAGGGAACCGTAAGCAGTGTGTGTCCATGGTTTCTGATCAGCTCCTGCCTTGTCCCATGATCGATGGACTGTAACCTGTAAGCCAAATAAACCCTTTCCTCCCTGAAGTTGCTTTTGGTCAGTGTTTTGTCACAGCGACAGAAGGTGAACTAGGACAGCGAAGCCCTTTACCTTTGCAAGTGCGGTTCACTGCTGACCGCTGGCAGGGTGTTGGACAGCCGTCGGGCTCCCTTTGCTAAAGTGACCACGGACCCACCTCTCTTGGTCTTCCCTTTTTCAGAAAGCAAACCCACTTTGCTAATTCACAAGGAATTCAGGCATACTAGGCCATTCTTAAACTTAAGGCACTAAAATCAGTAAGTTCAATTAAAGAGGCCTCTGGCTTCAACAAACTTTAGCTCAATATTCAAGTTAACCTGGCTTTTCTGCCTGAAGATGAGTCTTCCTTAAATAAAATGGATCAGGAGGAAATGACGTCACTGGAAATGCCAAACACAGTTTTTTAAATGAAGGTCATTTAAGGTTGGCTCATGAAAAAGAACACCCCCTGATCCACTTCTGGCAGGTATTCCCCCGCACCACAGAGCAGCCAGAACTCAGAGAGCATGATGGTTTTCACTGGGGCTTGAAGGAAAGGGCCTATCACCATGGAGGTATCTGTCTACCCTGTCAGAAACCAGCTGACTTCTCTTTCCTCCTCTACTGTAACTCCTATGTTCAACTTTCCCCACATTCTCAGAGCTGTTACCTCAAGGAGAGGCTCTGCTCTTCTGGGGTTCTTAAAAATTGGTCTAGAAACCCTCAGCATAATTTGTTAAGCAAGTAAGATCACACATGAGGTAGTAAGGCTATGAGACTGAAGGCCACAGCCAGATTCTTTAAAAGTTTATTTCATTCTAAAATGAAATGGAGATCTTTTATAAAGGTTAAAAACTCATTCAATTTTATGTCTTACAGGGTTTTTACTGAGTTCAATATTGTACAACTGTATTAATTCAACTGTGAACTTGGAAACTTGCACCCACTTGTGAAAGAGATGTACTCTTGCTCTGGAGTGTGTTACTGAATATGTTAAAGCTGTAGTGAAATGCTTCTTCTAATAATGTAGTTATTAAAAAATTTTTAAAATAATGATAAAAAAATAATTTTATACCATAGTGCACATGTGGGAGGTTAGAGGGTAACTGGGAGGAGACAGTTCTTTCCTTCTACCACCTTTACCCTCCAAACCGTCTTTCCAGCCTCTCCACCTTTCTTTTTTTGTCTCTTTGAGACAGGGTCTCCCTATAGCCGCAGCTGTCCTGGAACTCACTATGGAGACCAGGCTGGCCTTGAACTCACAGAGCCCCGCCTGCCTCTGCCTCCCCAGTGCTGGGATTAAAGGCATGCGCCACCACACCCGGCAAAACCTCATTTAATTTTAAGTCTTATTGGGTTTATACTGAGTACAATATTATATAACTGTAATAATTCAACTGTAAACCTAAAATTTACAGCCAATTTTGAGAGCTGCATCTTAACTCAGGAAATTGTTACTGAATATGTCAATGCTGTTGAAATGCTTCTTCTAAGTATGTGGTTATTAAATAAATAATTTAAATTTATTTCAGAGGCTGGAGAGGTGGCTCAGCAGTTAAGAGCACTGGCTGCTCTTACAGAGAACCCGGGTTCAGTTCCCAGCACCCACATGGTGACTAACAAACATCTGTAACTCCAGTTTCAGGATATCAAATGCTCTCTTCTGACCTCTGAGGGCATTACATGACATGGATGTACTTACATGCATGCAAAACATTCATACACATAAAAGTAATAAATATCTTAAAAATTTCATGTATTGTGTGTATAATGGAGGAGGGGAGAACACATATACTCAGAGGACAATTTTGTAGCTGGTTCTCTCCTTCCACCTTTTCATGGGTTCCAGAACTAAAACTCAGGTCATCAGGATTGCTGCCCCTGCTGAGTCATCTCCCTGGCTCCATGGCTAGATTCTTAATTACAAATTTTTTGTTTGCATTTTCACTTATTTATTGAGGGGAGGCACCCATTCTACAGTGTGCATGTGGAAGTAAGGGGGTAACTTGCAGGAGTTGGTTCTCTCCTTCTACCATACGGGTTCTGGAAATCCAACTCAGGTCATCAGGCTTGGCAGCAAGCATCTTTACCTACTGAGACATCTCACTGGCTGCTGGATTCTTAATCATTTTTATTTTTTATGAGTGTTTTGGGTCTTTTGCCTGCGTTGATGTATGTCTACCAAGTGCTTGCCTGGTGCCCACAGAGACCAGAAACTGACATCAGATTCTTTGGAACTGGAGTTACAGGTGGCTGATGAGCCACCATGTGGGTGCTGGAAACTGGGCCTGGATGTTCTGCAAGAGGAGTGAGTGCTGTTACACCCGAAGCCATCTCCGCAGCCCACCACCACATTCTTAATTTAGAGGAGTAATATTCAAATAAGGCAGACGCCAATAACAAAAGGGATAATATCGTCATTTTATCTCACCTTAATGCAGCCAACTATTGTCGTTGTGAGCGCAGAATTATACTGCGTGCAGAGCACCGTGGCATACATCAAGATAAACCTAGACAAAAAAGGAAAAGGTGTGTTATAAGGCAGAGCTTACTTTATGGCAATCTCTTCTCAAGGCAACCAAGCAGTGCTGGCCATGTTGGCACATTCTAGTCCCCGAGCAACATGAGCTTTCTTGTCTCTTCATAGGTTTATTCTAATTTTACTAAAGAGAAACAGATGTCTATTTCCCCTGCCACCTCACCAAACCATGACAGTATCATTCATAATCATCAGGACTCTCTAGAGACCAGCACATAACTCAAGCAAGCCAGAGAAAAAGCTCACAGACCCTGGCTCAGCTGTGCTTCCCATTAAGATTATGTATCTTCTTCCTATCGTCAGGATGAAGGCAAGAGAGCTTCTCAATAATGAAAGAAAACCAAATTAGAACTACTGCAGGAGTAGACACAGGCCGACTTGACAGCTACACGGCATTTGGAATTCCATGATTTACACTGAGGCTTCTGGGCAGACCCAGCACCATGCAGTGTGTGGTTTGTATTCTGAAGCACCCTCTTGCTGTATTCCACATCCAGAGACAGCAGCAACCAACCTGCCTCGCTACGGAAAGTGAGGCATATGAGAAACAGAGAGGCATTTGAAGGGACCCCCTATCCTTCTACAGGCTCTCCTCCACTCATAGAAAAGTCAGCGGCCCCAAATTGAAACTCTGCCACTGCCATTCACTAACTGATTATTATCCACTGACAATTACTCTAAGCCTGCACTCTTCTTATAGGTGAGGTACAATAATGTTAAATGTTGAGGCAAAACAAAATAACACGGATCAAAATATAATGTGGTTATCACACAGTATGGTAATGGACAATACCAATCTCTCTTCTCCATCCTTCAGAAACGAGGGAGAAGGACTCTAAAACTTCTGTACCCAGCCTCTCTAGGAAATGATTCGCTAAGAAGGCATTACTTACCCCATCACACAGGAGAGGGTGAACTGCAGAAGAAATAGGGTGTCCGCCCAGCCCTCAAACTCCATCGCCTGTAATAGACAGGAAGCACTGGGTTTAGAGCAGGCCCTCCAAACAGCTCTCATTCATTAACTGAAGTCCTTCTGTGTACCACTGTTCACCAAAGCTCTGCCCTGACTCCCTTCCTTCCCTTGCCCTTCTCCCTTACTGCATGGCTCCAAGGACCAAGAATTATGTTCAAGATTTTCAAATACTGGGGGAAGGGAGAGCAAGTTTTCTTTAAGGGTGTGGCCCCTGGTAGATGGCCCTCCCTCCAGTGGATGGTCCCACCCCGATGGGCATGTGGGCAGCACAAATCAGACTTGGAGAGGTTTTTTGTTTTTTTTTTTTAAACAGGATATGAAGTTGGGAGGAGTTAGGAACAGGAGTAAGAGTGACTATGATAGAAATATATTGTACAGCTGGCGTAGTAGGGCACACCTTTAATCCCAGCACTGGGGAGGCAGAGGCAGGTGATCTCTCTGTAAGTTCAAGGCCAGCTTGCTCTACATAGCAAGTTCCAAGCGGGCTGGGGATACAGGGAGATCCTGTCTCAAAAAAGACAAAAAGGCAAAAAAAAAAAAACAAGCCCAGAACCAAAAATACATTGTATGTATGTAGGAAATCCTCAAGTCATAAAAATACATTTAAAACATTTTTCAAATATATGTATTTGAACCCATTTTCAGGTCAGTCCTTTTCCAAACTATAATACAGAGGAGATTTTATAATGTTATTGGTATAAAGACACTGGTATTTCTTTGAAGGTACAAGTCATACTAGCTAAACTCTGGTTCTCCCTGGTGGCTGCTGATATGCTCGTGTCAAGACTTTCTTGATGCTCCCTGTGGAGTGTGGAAGCTCAAGTACAGACTTAAATTACACAAACATAGCTGGAGTCTGGGGGAAATCATTCAAAACAGTGTATTCTAAATGCAAGTTGTGATTCTATTGTGTTCATTTACTCACTTGTTTTAAATCAAAAAGAAAGGACCCCCACTCCCCGCCCAAAAAAAGAATGTAGGGATTTTCTGTCCTTTCATCAGAGATGGAGGGCTTCTCCCTCAAGTACCTTCTTTTGCAATGTGAGCCTAGAGCAAAAGTGAAAAACAACCTCACCTTTTATCTCCCTGCCAACCTGTCCAGCTTCACCTGCCCAGTTCCCAGAATACCATAATACCAGGCTTTCTTGCTGTTTACAAAACATGATAAGAAGTTTCACCTTTACATGCCTTGGCCTGGAATGCCCTTTCCCTCAACATTGACCCTGTTTGCCAATCAAACTAAGCTCAAGGCTCCTTTGTGAGGCTGCCCCTGGACAAGCACTCAGATTGTGCCTCAGTACAGCTCTCTATTGCCCTCTTCTCTGTCTTTCCATACTATGCAGATTGTGAGCGAACATGGGGAAGACCCACCCTTTTATTTAATCATACTCCTGACACAGCAAGTACTAGATTGTATCACTCATGTTGTTCATGATTCTTTTTTCGATGAGATTATAATACATAACAAAACAAAATTCACTAATTTCAAAGGAACAATAATTGAAAAATATATAGCATGTAATCACTATTATAAGCAGGATAAAGGCAATTCTACACCCAACTCCCAAACTTCTGCCCATTTCAATTAATCCTTTCCCTTATTTCTAATCCCTGGCATTCTCAGAAGTACTTAGGCTAAGAACAGCTTTGCTGTTCAACAACGTAAGGTAAAGGTCATATAGTTTAGTGTGTATTCTTTTATGTCTTGCTTCTTTTCCTTGGCATAACATTTTGATTCACCCATGCTCTATGTATATTATAATCCACTCATTTGTATTGCCAATTACAATAGCATTCCGTCTTATGGATATAGCAATTTGTTGAGTCACCAGTCAATGGACCTTTTCTTAGGTTGTTTCCACACAATTTGTTATTATAAATAAAACTGCACTGAATCTTAAGAGTAAAGGGAAAGTCTGTGGGTACTTTTTATTTATCTTGTAAACACCTAGAACATGATATTGCTGATTCTTTTATCGAGCTTATCTTTAACTTTGCAAGAAACTGCCAAATTGTTTTCCAAAGTAGCTACACAATTTGGCAGCTCTCATCGGCAGTGTTCCACATTCTCACCCACTTAGAACTGTCACAGGCCACTCTACCAAGCAGGAAGTGGAACCTTGTAATCTTAATTTGCATTTCCCTGTTGACTAACAAGTTGAGTATTTTTATTTTATTTTAATTAATTTATTTATTTTGGTCTTTTTGAAACAGGGTCTCCCTGTAGCCACAGCTGGCCTCGAACTAACTATGTAGACCAGGCTGGCCTCTATCTCACAGAGCTCCACTTGCCTCTGCCTCCCAAGTGCTGAGATTAAAGGCATGTGCATCACCAAAGTCGGCTAAATTGAGTATTTTTAATGTTCTTATTTAATGTCTGTATTTCTCTTTCACGAAACTGCACAAGACTATGCATTGCATAGGCCCTTATACTTGCCTGTGGATGCCAGGGCAGGACCACTAATGCTCTCCATCTATTGCCTTGAGACGGGCTCTCTCACTGAACCAGAAACGGGCCCTTTCAGTTAGGCTGGCTAGCCAATGATCTCTTGGGATCCATCTGTCTCTACTCCCTGATGCTGGGGTTACAGGTATGCGTAGCCCAGGTTTTTATGTGGGTGCTTGGAATTCAAACTCAGATCCTGAGGCTTACAGAACAAATACTTTTACCCACTGAACCATTCCTAGCCCCTTCCAAAAGTTTTGGTTACATTTATTTTAGGAAGGGGGGTGGCATACATCACCATGTACATGTGAAAGTCAGAGGACAACTCACAGAGTTGGCTCCCTTTACCCACTGAGCCATCTCACTGCCCCCTCCCAATTTTTATTAGTTTTCTTCCAATGACTGAGTTCTCTAAATTTTTACGTATGTTCTCAGTAAATACCTTTAATTATCACACACACACACACACACACACACACACACACACAATCTGGGAGTGAAAAGTTATCAGCATCACCTCCCTGAGCGCCCTAACTGTCTCTTTTGTGTTAAGTGAACAATCCTGACAGCCTGGGCCACTATACTAAGGATGGTTCATTTGGGTGTGCCAGTGATGAATGCAAACCAAAATAAAGTACTGCCGAATATTTACGGGGGGTGGCTCTGAACAGATCATGCAATCTGCTTCCCACAACATCTGTGTGAGAAGGAAAGGCCAGGTCTTATTATTCCCAGAAGATAACACATGACTAACCATTGGTCACACAGTCAATAAATGATAGACCTGTCTTTGCATACTCTAAGCCCAAGGCTCTCTGTATGCTGAACGCAAAATTTTATTCCATTAATAAGTATACAAAAAGAGACAAGTACTTCTCATGGAATTTCTTCCTTCTCCCTTCCCTAAGCATTTGGTTTCCTCTGGAGAAAGTCCACACAAGCACCCTGATGGATTCTTGCTTCAGCACAGGAATAGATCTTTGGCTACAACTGAGCAAGCAGCAGCCACTTAAAAACACAGCTGCAGGATAAATATGGCCCAACCAGTCCTACCACATAACAGAGCCTGCTCCTCCCGCTACAAAGACAGCATTAGAAAGAAAAAAGAAAGAAAAGAAGAAAAGCTACTTCTCATCAAGTCCTTAGCTATGTGCCAAGTCCAAAATGCTAAGTGCACCGTTATCCAGCTAGTAGGTGCACGTTCCGCTCCATAGCTTACTCGTTTCATTTACCCTGAGCTTGGCCCACACTTGCCCTTATCTCAGGGAAGGAAATGGAAACAAAAAGCCAACAGGGCAAGGTTTTGTCAGTGCAACTCTGGCTTGACTGGTCAGTTGCTACTACAATCAGAATATGCTTTATTGGACCATGTTTGAGACTCAGAAGATTGGGCCTGTCTGCCATGGTTCTTCATTAGTAAAGAATGCCAGCAGTTTCTTTGTATAACGAGGCCTGCCTTTAAATCGCACATTCTGAACAGTTTAGTCAAGCTAAAACAAGCTGGAAAATCTCTGCGGGGGAGGGGCAAAATAAAGTATTCCCTTTTTTATCTGTTCCCTTTTCCCCCACAAACTGCAGATTTTTTTGAAAGTGGGGATTTATCCCTACTTGATTAACGATTGAGGATTAAAGTTCTAAAAAAAAAAAAAAAAAAAAAAAAAAAGCAAGCAAGAAAGAAATGGTAAAGAGATATGGGAAGGGAAGGAAGCCACAAGGTCCAGTTTGCATCCTCTGCAAAGAAGCTTCAACATAGCCGCTAAAGTGAACAATGCCTACGAGGGCAACCCTCCCCCTTCCCTTATCTCCAACAGCAGTGTTAAAAACAACAAATGGAGCCTGGCATGGTGGCCCATGCCTTTAAGCCCACTATGGGAGGTAGGGGTATCTCTATGAGATTGAGGTCATAACTACACAGTGAGTTCTAGGCCAGCTGGAGGTATAGGGAGACCCAACAAACAAACAAAAAAATGAACTACTTACTTTGGGCAGAATATATGTGACCTTTGAGCTTACTAAGCTTACCCATATCAATTCTCCTCTCACTATGTAGCCATGGCAGGTCTGGGACTTGCTATGTAGACCAAGCTGGCCTTGAACTACAGATATTCACTTGTCTCTAGATGCCTGGGATTAAAGGCATGCACCACAATGGACCACCTTTCCTTCTGTTTTCAATGACGTTTCCAGTTCTATAGGTGCTGGTGGACAATGCAAAACCACAGCAATATAGGCTCCTGGTACAAAAAGTGTCACACACTCAAAAAGCAAAGCCTACATAACCTACCACTTCTGGAAACTAGGTACACTTGACTTGAGTAAGATTTTTGCTTAAACAAAACCATTTGTAAAACTTTGTTCTTTAGCTGCTTAAGTTCATTTTATCAGTAGAGAAAGTGAGTACGTGTGAGTACATGCAAAGATTAGGCACAAAAGCCAAGCCATTGTCAACAAGGCTAACATCCAGTTCAAGATGCAATCAGATTTTGTCCTTTGAGTCAGTTCTGATGGATAAAGCCTGGCTATTTGAGCCAGTGTCTTGGGA